GGCGCCATCGTCCAATTTGATCTTATACATGCAAAAGGCGAGGCTTATCCCCTTAATATCCGCCAATGTCCACCCAATATCCTTCTTCCTCTTTTGTAGCACCGCCAATATGGAATCTACCTGCACGTTAGTCAAACAAGAGGAAAGAATAACTGGTAAAGTAGAACAAGGACCAAGAAATTCATACCGAAGATGTGGAGGCAATGGCTTCAACTCCAAGGTAGGAGGCTTTTCAATATAAGGCTTTGTAGGAGGAGTTGTCCTATTTTCAAGATCCAAGGACAATTTCTGGGGTGCATAGTTGTACGACCCAATTCCTTGCAAAGAGTTCACACATTTCATGAAGCCATCCATCTCGTCATCATCAAAGTTGAGCAAGACGGCTTCCAACATATCACCAACATTGATTGTAGCACTCATTTCATCAATAATAACATCGGTCAACAAGTCCACAAAAGAACACACCTCATTGATTTTTTGGTTGCCGCATGGACTTACACACATGGAATATCACTTTTTCATCACCGGCCCAGAATGTAAGTTCTTCGGCTTCAACATCACAAAGAGCCTTCACCATAGTAAGGAAAGGTCTACCAAGAATAATCGGCACTTTATAATCAATCTCACAATCTAGAATGACAAAATTTGCCGGAAGAATAAATTTATCAACACGAACCAAGACATCTTCAATCACACCCAAAGGCCTCTTCATGGTACGATCGGCTATTTGCAATCTCATAGAGGTGGGTCTTGGTTGCCCAATTCCCAAAGTCTTGAAAACCGAATAGGGCATCAAATTGATACTTGCCCCAAGATCACAAAGAGATTTAGCAAACTCGACACTTCCAATTGTACAAGGAATCGTGAAAGCACCGGGATCCTCCAACTTAGGAGCCATTGGGTGCACAATCGCACTCACTTGATAAGTGACTTTGATGGTTTCAAAATTCATTGACCGCTTCTTTATCACAAGATCCTTCATAAACTTTGCATAACCGGGCATTTGTTCTAAAGCTTCAACTAATGGTACATTGTTTGAGAGACTCTTCATCATTTGAATGAACTTCTTAAATTGATTCTTACCATTTTGCTTGGCAAGTCTTTGAGGGTATGAAGGTAGAGGCTTAGGAAATGATGTCTTAGCATTTTGCACTACCGACTCTAGTATGTCAATAATGTGTTCCCTAGACGAGTTCACCTCCTCTTGAGTCTCTTCCACACTATTATCAATATCAATCCGAACTTCATCATTAGGTTGCACCATATTATTCGGGATCTCCTCTTCTTGCATCACTTGCTCATCATCAATAAGTTGCCTTTGACTTGAGGTTGGTGCATTTCTACCTCTTTCACTTCTTATGGTAACGGCCATGGCATGTCCCGTGTTGTTTCCACCATTTGGGTTTACTACCACGTCACTTAGTAGTGCCTCCTTAGGACAAGAATTTTGTGCTTGAGAGATTTGCCCTATTTGAACTTCTAGGTTGCAGATTGATGTGTTGTGTGAGGCAAGTTGGGTATCCGAATCTGCATTCTTTTCCATAATTTGCTTGAACATATTTTCAATATGCCCCATCTCATTGTTTGAAGAACTTGAACCATGAGAAGGATAAGGAAGCAGGTTGCTCAGTTGCTGATACATCGGGGGGCTTTGAAAACCCGACCCCCGGTTGCCTTGATTGTTGTTCCATACGCCTTGATTGTTACCCCCCTCCCAATTTCCTTGATTATTTTCACTCCAATTTTCTTAATTGTTGTTGTTGTTATGCCGATTCCCTTGATTGTTGTATCCGCTTCAATTGCCTTAATTGTTAGAATTCCAATTTTTTTGATTGTTTTGAGGTCGCCATTGTTTCTTTGTGCTTAAAAATTGTTCACATATTGCACCTCCTCTTCTTGTTTATTATAGGAATCATATTCCTCTAAACTACCATCTTCTTGCAGATAGTTCTCCAATCTATTTTGCACTTGTGGACCCTTGGTCCTCCTCTTGTTCACCATCATCTTCACTCCCTCCATGGCATTGGCTTGCTTGGGATTTTGTACTTGATTTAGTTGGGCCTTTGCTAGTTGAGTCATGTTGGTTGTCAATTCGGCAATGGCTTGCCCGTGGTCTTGCAATTCTTTATGAAAGTGGATCATGTTTGGATCACCTTGTGGAACATTGGCCCGAGATTGTCAAGCCGATGACGTTTCTGCCATTTCATCCAAAATCTCACTCGCCTCCGCATAAGGCGTAGTCATGAAGTTTCCACCGGCAAGTTGATTCACTAAACATTGGTTGGTTGTGTTAATCCTACGATAGAAGGTTTGTTGAATCATATTTTCCGTCATATCGTTGTTGCGACATTCCTTGACCATAGTTCTATAGCATTCCCATATCTCGTGTAGTGGTTCACTCGGCTCTTACTTGAATGCCAAAATCTCATCTCGAGGTGTAGCCATGTGCCCGGGAGAGAAGAACTTAACGATAAACTTTTCCACTAACTAATCCCAAGTGTGAATGGAATGGTTCAGTAATCGTTCCAACCAATCTAAAGCTTTCCCCCGTAGAGAGAAGGGAAAAAGCCTTAGCCTCAATGCATCCTCGGAGATATTTGTTTGTTTGCTCCCCCAACAAGAAATGAACGATTATTTTTGGTGTTTTTCCAAATTAAAAGCCTAGGGATCTGACCATGACCTAGGTGTTCGCCTAATGGGTTAAATACGTTAATACTTATTTTGTTGATTGGGGTATATTATAGCTCTCAACTCTACGTTACCCATCCAATACCTCTCGGTCAAAGAGTGATTTTTTGCCCAATTTGACTTTCTCAAGCTCAAATGGGTATAAAACAAAATTGTTGATATGAGCTCAAGTCGGGTTCTTACTATCTCTAGTTTGAACCCTTTAATTAGGCTAATCGAACTCTCAATTAACCTAATTTCTTGTTAGCCAAGTTATCCTAGACTAGGTCCTTCTTTCTCAAGTAGAGATTGAGTCAAAAAGGCATGAATCAATGTTTGCAACCATTAATTCTAAAATTGAAGCATGAACAAGGCTAAATAATCAACACCCAATCATAAACAAGCATTAAATTAAATACCTATAAGGTTTACACACTAGGGTTGGGTCACAACCCTAGTAAGAATCTAGCTACTCATAGTGGGTATTGAAGAAAAAAAATGCAAATAAAACCCATAATCAAAGATTAAATTGATGAAGTATAATGTTTAAACACTAAAATAATCAAAAACTTCCTAAAATGGCAAAAGGTAACGGCTACAACAACTTTCTACTTCGAAACTTGACCTAAAATTGTGAAACTCGTCTATTTATAGTGGGCCAGAATTTACTGACAAAAATACAGTTCGGGAGGTTCTGCGGCCGCACAATTCCATGTGCGATCCGCAAATTTCTTCAGTTGGCATGAGAGTGGGTTTTTACAGCCGTACATTTCTAAATTGCGGGTGCGAAGCAACTTCTGCGGCCGCACAATTCTTGTGTAGTCCGCACTTCAGCAAGGCGTCAGGACTTGGTCTTTTTGCATATTCTCTGAACTTTGATTTTTTTTTCCAGTGAAAGCCCTGTTCCGCGGTCGCATAATTCATGTACGGTCCGCACATTGGTCAAAATCCCTTTGGGTTATGTTGCTTGGTTTGCAACCGCTGATTGAATTCTGCGGTCCGCAATTTCTTCTGTGGACCACACTTCTTTGCCTCTGCGCTCTTTAATGCCTTGTGCTTCGGAACACTCCTTTTTAGTCGGATTTCATCATGGTAGACCAAACTTCCAATATTCGTGCAATTTGCACAATTTCATTAGTTTCGAAAATACAAATTAATACTTTCGGACTAAACCCAAAGTAAAAAGGTGCTAATAAGCAGTCAAAATTTTCACTTATCAATTTACACTATTATTTTCTTTATTTCCAATAAGATCAAATGAACTAACAATGTTAAAGCGGAGAAAATCCTTTTAAAAAAAACTACAGTTTATATTCAGAACTCATAAACTTCAAATCTCGGTCCGCCTCTGTCTATTCATAATAAGTATATTACTAGTAATTTGAAAAATACATTAATATATAGGGTGTGCTTGGTATGACGAAAAATATTTTTCAGTTGGTTGCACAAAATAGTTTGAAAAATATTTTTCTAGATATCACATTTTTCTGAAATTGGAGAAAAATAATTTTTCTAGAAAATGTTAGAAAAATATTTTCCAAAAACTCCACCTACCCTCACATCTAACCCCAACCCCTTCCGCTTTCTCTCCCTACCCCACCTCTCCTACCCCCTTTCTCCAAAAAGGTTTTTTTTCAGATTTCAGTTTACAGGTTCGAAAATTTACTCTCAACGGATCCTACGCACGCTGGGAATACCTCTTTCGTGTGTCTTTCTCGTGGCGGGAACAGAACAACAGGGAAAGACCCGGCCCAGTTCGAGCTTTATTTATTTAAGAGAGAATGGGGAGTGAATCGAATTCTGCTTCCGTTCTTTGGGGTCTTTTAGGCCCCTCTCGATCTTTTCTACGTTGAGAAGGGAGAAGGAGTCTAAATCAATGGACACTAATGAACCATCATTGATGGACGTTGCACATGACACGATCAATTCGACTCAAGGTCCGACGCTAATAGAAAGTTCCAAAGTTATGAGTTCGGAGGTTTATGTATTTGGAGTTTGCAGATTTAGAAATTAAAGAGTTTACCGGTTCGAAAGTTCGCGGATTCGAAAGTTTAGCGGTTCAGAAGTTTATGGAATTTGTGAGGTTCAGAAGGTTGTTGGTTCGAAAGTTTATAGCTTCATGTTTATTGTATCTAAATTATTTATGAATACTCTTAAGAAGTTATTTTCGTTAATTTGGATACCAAACACCAAAAAATGAGTAAGATTACTACTTATTTTCCAAGAAAATATTTTGTTGGAAAATTTCCTTTGTACCAAACACACCCATAGTGTAATAAAATTTGAACTGTCAGCTTATTTGTTTAAGGTAAGAAGAGACAAGGGCGCTAAAAGTGTGCAATCCAAAAATAGTTCATAGAGTAGAACGAGGGAGAAGACTTAAGAAAAATGGGGTTTTTTCTTCTTCTTCTTTTTTTCTCTTTCTTTTTTCCAGTAGTACTTCAATGGAAAGTCCTTAAGATGCCATAATAAACTTTTGTTACCATAATAGAGATTGGTTGCTCAATACTGGAGCATCTTTTGTCTTTTTTGGGTAGCTTCCTTCTATATAAGACTTACAATCCATCTCTCCTAAAACTCCCCTTCCCCTCAAAAATTCTTTTCAAGATTTCATTTCTCTTTTTCCAATTCCTTCTTCTGAGTAATAGTGATTGTGTTTGTGAGAGAAAATGGAAGAAATGGCTTCTTTATGGTGTTACCAAGAGGTGCTTCCTTCTTCATTTTCATTACAGTTTCTCACTTCATGTCATCTCTGTACCATTTTATTCTGTTTATAACTTCACTTCAAAACTGAAACCCCATACTTTCCTCTCTGTGTGTGTGTGAAGAGTCTGAATGCCTGAATGGGGCAGTCCATAATGGCTAGATAAGAAATATCTTGAAATGGATTTACGGAATATCATTGTATTTTGCTAAAACTCCAACCTTATATAGAAACAGTAAAGGGCAGTCCGGTGCACTAAACTTTTCTATGCGCGGGGTTCGGGGAAGTGCCGGACCACAAGGGTCTATTGCACGCAGCCTTGTCCTGCATTTTTGCAAGAGGCTGTTTCCACAACTCGAACCCGTGACCTCATCGTCACATGGCAGTAACTTTACCAGTTACGCCAGGATCCCTTGTAGAAACAGTAAATTTAAGTATTGAGTTTTCTTTTGCACAGTCAATGATCTTGTGTCTTTAGACTAACTGTAGTTTTTGTTTGGTAAAAGTGGTGCAATCCCTTTTTCTCTAATTCGAAACAGGTTTTGCTTTGATTATTAGACATTTTCACTGTTCAAGAAGCTATAGGCAAATCTAAAGAATTAATCATTGCAGGGCCCAATGCATCAATTTTTTCTATAATATTGGTATCCAAGGGTGAAAGATATGCTTTCTACTTAATTTTTGTTTTTAAGTTTTAAAACTTTTGCATTTGAGTGAGATTATTTCATCACCTTCTACATGGGCCCTGTCTAAGACTTGTTCATGGAATGATTATAACCAGATAATTACTGTGAAGATTTCTTTACTGATCTTTCATGATTAGCATGTCTAAAGGACCTTTTCTTTGTTAATAAAGTTCAAATTTTTAAGACTTTTCTCTAACTTTGTTTTGATAAAATGTTGCAGAACATGGAGGAAATGAGACAGAAGCTAGTGTACACTAGTCTTGAACTTGAAAAGTTGAAAGTGGAAACAAGTGAAGAAATAAGGAAGAACAATGAATATGTAAAGCAATTGATCCAACTACAAAAGATGGCTTGTCAAGAAAGAGATGAAGCAAGAAATCAACTTCAGGAACTACTCAACAAAATAACTTCATCTCAGTTCCAAGTTGATAGTCCTCTTGTGAAGGCAACAAAAGCAAATTCAAGCATAACTGAATCAAACAGCCTTTCTGAAACATACAATTATCAGTCACATTATTCATCCCCGGTCGACTCGTTTCTTGATGCAGTTTCATCCCCTGAATTTTCCAACAACAACATGGCTAATTCAAATGCAGTACCCTATATGAATCGGCCTTTGGATCAGGCCACATTGGTTATTGAAAATCTTGTAAAGGGGAAATCTTTGCCACAGAAAGGGAAACTGTTGAAGTCTGTTCTTGAAGCAGGACCACCTCTACAGACACTTCTTATAGTTGGATCACTTCCTGAATGGCGTAATCCGCCTCAGCTTAAGCCGTCTAATATTCCACCAGTTTCCATTAAAGGGTGTGAAGCTGAGATTACAAATCTGAATCTTGCTTCAAGAATATTGCATTCTCAACCTTATTTTGAGATGTCATGTGGATCTTCACAAATGATGTCAACATCTATGTTGAACTTTGCTAATTTTCCCTCTGGTTCTTGTTTGGAGAATCAGAGGTTGATATCTTCTGGTGCAATTTTGTTGTCCTGGGAAAGAGACAAAGGTTGCAGTAAAACAAGTTGAAAAATGGATGCCTATGCTTCCAATTTTTGTATAAAGCAGATTGCTGAGTGTTTGTAAATTGGATATACTGATTTTGAGTTTGACAGTATGAGTTCTTTTTGGTTAATGAATTTCATATTTGTTTTGGCTTTTTACTATTACAGTTCTCTTTTCTTTATTCAATAAACAATTACTATGAATGTGAATTTTGATTATGATTCAATATAAATATATTGATATATCACTCAAAACTTAATGTTTGTGGCTCCTTAAATGTGCAACTGAACCTTTTCCCTGAAGTTTTTGTTGTCTAAGAAAACATTTTATGTGTTTTCAGAAAAAGAATTGTTTTTGTCATTTCCACCAAGAAACAGACCCTCCACCAATTGGACTCTGTCTAACGTAGACTGAACTAAAAAAGGGCAGCCTGGTGCACTAAGCTCCCGCTATGCGCGGAGCCCGGGAAAGGGCTGAACCACATGGGTCTATTGTACGCAGTTGTACCCTACATATTTGCAAGAGGCTGTTTATATGGCTCGAACCCGACCTCTTGGTCACATGGCAGCAACTTTACTAGCTACGCCAAGACTCCCTTGCTAATGTAGACTGAACTATCATTTTAAAACTATTCTGACAGCAAAATTCTGGATATAGTATTTGTCCAGTGAGCTGCCTGCAAAATGAAAGCATCGTAGTGATTGCAAAGAAAATGACAAACAAAAAATGTTATCAGTGTCTAGAATCCTTGGTATCAAAAAGAGACTCGCGGTACAGAAAGTCTCAATAGAATTTGATGAATCCTATCTTCTGTCCTTAAGACGGATAAATGAACCAAGAATTCTCTTTTTTGATCGTCTACAACAACAGCCACAACAAGCCTAGTGGAGTCCCACAAGTGGGGTTTAGGGAGGGTAGTGTGTACGCAAGACCTTACCTCTACCCATAGGAGGTAGAGAGGCTGTTTCCGGTAGCCCCTCGACTCTTTTTTTATCGTCTGGATAGTAGAGATTTGTAACCTCTTCTTGCAAATAAATGAACTTACCAAAAAGTTAAGTGTGAGTGTTGAATTCTTGGATTCATCACTAACCTTGTTTGTCTATATTGGTCTCTAACTTTGATATGACCGTCAGTACATGTCCTCAAAAGTTTTTTCTAAACTTAGAATACTCTCCAAATACAAAGTTCCTAGACTAAGTTAACCCTCAAATTTTCTTATAGCAACTTGTCTTAAAATCCCTATCAATTCAATTCTAAGAATCCTTTCCTGCCTTTTTTTTCAGAAATTCAGAATAGCATGTCTAGTCCAAATTCCTCTCCAGGCATTGGACCTTCGCGTTGGGATCCACTGCTGATTGCCTCAGTTGGTGTAATTTGTTTGATACTTCTTCTATTTAGTTATTTGAAGATAATACAGACACGCTGTTGTGGGTATCTATCTGCACGTTTGTACAGAAATCCAACTCAAAGGCATCATCTAAACGAGCAAATTCTTGATGATACTGATTCACAGATCCATAGCAGGGGACTAGACTCTTATATTATGCATTCACTGCCAATCACTCAGTTCAAGAAGAACAACGAACAAACAACCAGACCAAATAATGCAGATTGTGCAGTTTGTTTAGGTGAATTTGTAGATGGTGAATGGCTGAAACACTTACCTTATTGCTCTCATGTTTTCCATGTTGCCTGTATTGACACTTGGTTTCAGATTCATTCAAGCTGCCCACTGTGCAGATCAAATGTATTTAATGTCAAAATGCAACAAGGACATTCCATTTCTATGTACACATTACTAGAAACTCTGAGAAGGGAAGATTTCAATCATGAAAGGTCAGTGCACAATGAGGATATCCGGTCACAGATATTACATAATCATCCTACTAGAGCTGTAGAAGGAAGTTCTGACTAGCGCTTTTCCATTTCCAACTATGTCTAACAACTAATTGGTATGTCTCTCAATCATTACACTGTCTATAGTGAGAGCTCCACAGTATGCTCTCTTCCTGACCCTGTAGAGAGATTTATGAACAAGGATTTGGGATATATATCATACTCTTTGATTAGCAAAGACAAGTTCACAAGCACGAGAAGAAGTTCAGAAGAGGCAAGGATAATCAGAATGGTTAGCAAAGTCAGAAATTATGGTAACAAAAGAACGATTTAAGAGTTTATGTGATGTATGACAAGTTTTTTCTTCCTTGTAAGGATGATACCTCCTTGAGATTTCTGTCTGATGCAACTAACTGTCCCTTTTATCGAACAGTTTGAATTATCATTCCTACGTAATGAGGAATTCTTGTAAGAACATAGATAATAAATTTAGCAGATTGTATCATGCCAAAGTACAAGTTCATTCTTCACATTTCTTTCTCGTCGTCCATCAGTCCATGAAATTTATCGTCAGTGATAATAAGTTTGCTTCATCCAACGGAACACAAATAACAAAAAAGGAACACTCGGTATTATAAAATACTGGTAATAGAAGTTAGACACGATAACTGACTGAATAAAACTATACCAATCAAATCAGAAACACAAATTACACCAAACAAATTTTAACTGTGGTCATATTTTTTTCTCTAGCTTGTAGCTCCATTGAGATATATGTATTTGTTTCAGCTTATAGATTGGAACTCATATTTTCACTTCCTTGTACTGTTTTTTTCAGTTAGTTGAACATAGTGGGACTTGGAACTTGCAAAATCCCTCAAATAACAGATCTTTATCCATTAAAAGATGAAATGAGATACAGAAAGTTAAAGTTCAGAAGAAATTTTTTAGCTTTTGGATTTTGGATGTACATAGTTATCTGGCTGGGGAACTAAATTAAAGAAAGCACAGCAGAACAGTCTATCTTTCAGAAGGTATTTTTGTATCATTGCTTGCGTTTTCTTTTCTGTAATTGGAATATACCTCAAATAATTAGTTGTCCAAAAAAATGTGAATCAAGAATGAAACAGATGAGAGAATCTCCCTTCTTGAAAGTAATCTGCTATTACTCAACTTTCTTTTCTTTCCTGGGGCGGATCTTGTTTCTTTAAACTTCGATTGATGGACGCCTTAATTGGTCCCTGCACATCAGATCCATATATATGACTCATTTTTGTTCGTTTTGTTTCCAAATACTTCCTGTTTTCCTCTGTGAAGGGTGTCAGAACTGGTACTCGTCCAACGACAGCTAAACCATATCCCTTTAGACCGGTAAATTTTGCTGGATTGTTAGTCATTAAGCGCATGGTACGAACTCCTATATCCCTCAACATCTGTTGCAATCAAATAAAATTAAGTCATATTCTTCCATTTGTTAATAGATACTCAATTATCAGTAGAAACTAGAAAATTAGTACTTGATTGTCTGTCGATGTTGGGAAATTGGGATGAGATGCGGACCCAGGATTTGAAAGTCGCGGGGCACTATTATCTTTAACGTAAATATGAAAATAACATTAGTTGCAATAAAATTTGGCGTGCAACTCTTCGAACACTTAGTGATTACGAGTTCGTGGCCGAAAGAATATTTAAAACATAAAAAACTTAAAATCATGACTAATAAAAGTCTGTAAGCAGTCCAAAAGGCCTCAATCGAAGTCCCAGAGTGAACGAATACTTGCTACTTTACCAAAGTAAACGTTGAAGGGAGAAGGTTTTAGTTGTCTTTATTTTTTTTATTTTTTCTAAATGAAATAATAATAAAATTTGATTAAAAATAAAGATTATTGACTAATGAAACTAGTTAATGATATATTTTATCCCCCTTTCTTATTGTCTTTAATCATTATTTTTGTGTCTCTTTATTAACTTTTCAAAGTCTAGAAAGACGTATCTCCAATAGAGTTTTGAATATTTTGTGTAGAAGATACAAAGAACTAATTGTGAAGAGAAGTTGAGTTTTGGAGCTTAGATGGAAGATTTTAAAAGAAAAAAATTAAACTAAGTGACTTCTATGTACTAGTACTAAATCGTTGAAAGGAGAAGGGTTTTAGTTGTCTTTATTTTTTCTAAATGAAATAATAATAAAAATTGGTTAGAGATAAGGATTATTGACTAATGAAACTAGTTAATGAAATATTTTATCCCCCTTTCCTACTGTCTTTAATCATTATTTTTATGTCTCTTTATTAACTTTTCAAAGTCTAGAAAGATGTATCTCCAATAGAATTTTTGAGTATTTTGTGTAGAAGATACAAAGAACTAATCGTGAAGAGAAGTTGAGTTTTGGAGCTTAGATGGAGAGATTTTAAAAGGAAAAAAATTAAACTAAGTGACTTCTATGTACTAAATTAATGTTTGAATTAAAAAATAAATAAACCAAGTTGATTACTAAATATGGAGTACTAAGGTCTGGCAATGAGGGAATGGAACCAACAGCCTGCAGAACCAGTGCAACCAAGGGGCATTTTGTTGTTTTAAGGGAACAATTAAATTATTATAGGGGTCCTCGACGTATATACAATAATATATACATGGTTTTTTCCAAGCCTATAGGGTGCCAGTAACCCCTCACCTCTCCCCTGATTGTTATAGATATGAGAAAATTATGTGACTAACCTGTGCACCAATGCCATATTCACGAGCATCTGCAGCAAAGCCGAGTTCCAAATTGGCTTCGACAGTGTCATGGCCTTGATCTTGTAAGTTATAAGCCTGAAGCTTGTTACCGAGGCCAATGCCTCTTCCTTCGTGGCCTCTGAGATAGATAACCACACCTCGACCAGCTTCCTCAATCAACTGCATTGCCAAATCCAGCTGATTACCACAATCACATCGTCTAGATCCAAATATGTCCCCCGTCAAACACTCTGAGTGTACCCTTACCAACACATCTTGGCCATTCCCGATATCACCCTGTTGAAAACTTTTGAAGTTTAGAATTCCGGATGAATTATGCAACTTCTTTGAAGGATAAAATCACTAATAATTTATGCTTTTGACCTTTACAACGGCTATATGCTCAGTTGCATCAAGCTTTGAACGGTAGCAGTAAGCCTCAAATAATCCCCATTTAGTTGGTAAACGTGACACTGCAGTTCTTTCGACAAGATTTTCCCTCTTTCTCCTATATCTGCAAGCAATAAAACATGACATACAAATTAGTAAGTTGGCTGTTGTTGCTTTCTCATGCATAATTTAATGAGTACAAAATGAAGGCTGCAATAGGCA